TGTTTTCCCAAATAGAAGGGAAGAATTTGATTTATATATGCACTAGGCAACAAATACGGTGGTACAGCTTTCTATGATTATCATAGGTCTTTTTCAGCCAAAGTGTCTGGCGCTCTCTCTCAATTCGGGAATAGGAACAATTGGAGCAAACTAGATACAGAAATTTTCTGCAGACACTTTGCAGGTCTAAAGACACCAGCTTGTGCATCCTGTTCATCTTCCATGCTTCACCTCTCCACTGCTTCCAAGCACTGCTTCTCCACTAATCTGCTTCACCACTCCACTGCTTACATACATAACTACAAGCACTGCTTCTCCACTAATCTGCTCACCCAGCATCCCTCCACACAGTGCATGCTGCTGTTAGATTAATGTACAGTACATGCTATCATGTGTTACTGTCAGATTAATATACAGTGCAGGCGATCAGGTGCTGCTCTCAGATTAGTGTACAGTGCCTCCGTTCAGGTGTTAGTGCCAGGTTAGTGTGCAGTGCATGCAATCAGGTGTTACTGTCAAATTAGTGCACAGTGCATGCGATCAGGTGTTACTGTCAGATTAGTGTACAGTGCATGCGATCAGGTGTTACTTTCAGATTAGTGTACAGTGCATGCGATCAGGTGTTACTGTCAGATTAGTGTACAGTGCATGCGATCAGGTGTTACTGTCAGATTAGTGTACAGTGCATGCGATCAGGTGTTACTGTCAGATTAGTGTACAGTGCATGCATTCAGGTGTCATTGTCATATTAGTGCCCAGTGCATGCGATCAGGTGTTACCGTGAAATTAGAGTGCAGTGCATGCGATCAGGTGTTACTGTCAAATTAGTGTGCAGTGCATGCAATCAGGTGCTGCTGTCATGTTAGTGTGCGGTTTCATGCGTTCAGGTGCTGCTGTCATGTTAGTGTGCGGTTTCATGCAGTCAGGTGCTGTGATCAGGCTAGTTGCAGTGCATGCGGTCAGGTTAGTGTGCAGTGCTACGATCAGGTTAGTGTGCAGTGCATGCAATCAGCTTAGTGTACAGTGCATGCGATCAGGTGCTGCTCTCAGGTTAGTGTGCGGTGCATGCAATCAGTTGCTGCTTTCAGGTTAGTGTGCAGTGAATGTGATCAGGTTAGTGTGCAGTGCATGCAATCAGGTTCTGCTCTCCGGTTAGTGTGCAGTGCATGTGATCAGGTGCTGCTCTCCAGTTGCTTTGCCGTGCATGCGATCAGGTGCTGCTCTCCAGTTGCTTTGCCGTGCATGCGATCAGGTGCTGCTCTCCAGTTAGTGTGCAGTGCATGCGATCAGGTGCTGCTGTCCGGTTAGTGTGCAGTGCATGCGATCAGGTGCTGCTCTCAGGTTCGTGTGCAGTGCATGCAATCAGGTGCTGCTGTCAGGTTAGTGTGCAGTGCATGCAATCAGGTTCTGCGCTCAGGTTCGTGTGAAGTGCATGCAATCAGGTGCTGCTCTCCGGTTAGTTGCAGTACAGCTCGGCCACGCTACAGGGGAGGGGGTAAGAAGAGGAGGTAAGAAGAGGAAGGGGTAAGAAGAGGGAGGGAATAAGAAGAGGGAGGAGGGAATAAGAAGGAGATAAGAAGAGGAGGAGGGGAATAAGAAGAGGGAGGGAGGAATAAGAAGGAGGAGATAAGAAAGAGGTAAGAAGAAGAAGGAGTAAGAAAGATGGAGTAAGAAGAAGAAGAGGAGGGAGTAAGAAAAGAGGGGAAGTAACAAGAGGGAGAGAGGGGAATAAGAAAGGGGAGAAGGAGGGAGATAAGAGGGGGGTAAGAAGAAGAGGGGGTAAGAAGAAGGGGGAGTAAGAAGAAAAGGGGGGAGTAAGAAGAAGAAGGGGGAGGAAGAGGAAGAAGAAGAAGGGGGGTAAGAAGAAGAAGGGGGAGCAATAAGAAGAAGGGGGGTAAGAAGAACAGGTGGGGGAGTAAGACGACCAAGGGGGGAAGTATGAAGAACACAGGGAGGAGGGGGGTAAGACGAACACAGGGGGTGTGAGGAGAACACATAGAGGGAGGAGTGAGAAGAGCACAGGGAGGGTGGGTGAGTGTGAGAAGAGACCGCTAGGGGAGGGTGGGGGAGAGGAGAGACCACTAAGGTGCAGGGGAGAGCTCTACGGGACAGAAGGGGCAGCTCTATAGGACAGGGGCCAAGACAGGGAGCTCTTTCACACTACGCGCGCGCACACACACACAATGCATCCCTATACATACACAGAAACACAACATGCTTCCCTTACACACAGAGAAACACACAATGCATCCATTACACACACACACACAATGCAACCCTTACACACAAAGACAATGCATCCTTTGCACACATACACAGAAACAGACAATGCAAACCCGTACACACACATGCAAACACACACACTTTTCTTACATACACACAGAAACACAATGCATCTCTTACACTCAATGCACACACATACAGACACACACCTTGCATCCCTTATGCATACAAACACAGATTCACACAATGCATCCCTTACACACAACCAGAAACACATAATACATCCCTTATACACAAATACACACTGCTTCCACTACACACAAACACACTACATCACCTGCACAAACTGGTAACCCTATACACTACATACCATAAGCACACATATTAGATCCTCTACAATAACACATAACACATCCCCTACACACTCCACTCCCTGTGAGCGAACTCATGGGTGGGTGGAACTTATGAGTGGGCCTTATGGGCATACTCACCGTCAGGCCCTGGGGCCCAGACCCCAAAAAATGGAGCTGCTTCCAATTCTCCCAGAACATTGAATTTTGTGACCACAGTTGCAAACAGCCTCCAGAGATCCTGTTCTACACCAGACCAGTGGAGCCAAACTGCAGCCCATCATCATCCTCATCTGCTTGTAAGTAGGCAATCTAGTATATTATTAGTGACACTAATCTATAATGTACCTCACATTAAAGGGACACTATAGCTTAATGAAGTGGTTCTGGTGTCTATAGCTGGTCCCTGCAGGCTTTTTAATGTAAACACACACTGTGTGCAGCACTGGCGTTAGTTCATATGGGTGGGGCATTGTGATGTCACATGGGGGGGCAGCAAATTTTTATTTTGTCTAGGGCGGCAAAAATCCTTGCACCGGCTCTGATCCTGGGCAGGTGCACCAGTCTACTGGTGACCCACAGGAGGGGAGTGCACTGATTGCACTGCACTCTCCTCCTGCCCAGCCCCATCTTTACCGCAGTGCAAGTGCCCTCTGCCCTTAATTTACAGTGGCTCACACTCACAACAAGCAGTGCCTGGAGCCGTGAAGGAGCGGGTATGGCAAAGAGCTACTGATTAGCATAACATCAATATCCGTTATAAAACCAGGAAAAGGTGGGCATGGATGGTGAACTGATTTGGTGGTGCAATGGGCCACTTGACTGGTTTTGCCCCCCAGGCCTAAGGCTGCCAGCCCTCCCCTGCTCACTGCTGTGGCTGATGGAGGAGGAGCATGTCTCTGTACCATGCTCCCTCGCGGTTCCCGGCACAGGAACGCGGCCGGCCCCCTGACTTCTCCAGGTAAAGAGGGGAATAGAGGGAGGAGGGAGAGACACAGGGAAAGGGGGGAGGGAGAGAGATGGGGAGAGACACAGGGAAAGTGGGAGGGAGAGAGATGGGGAGGAGGGGGACACAGGGAAAGGGGGGGAGAGAGATGGGAGGAGGGGAGAGACACAGGAAGGGGGAGAGATGAGAGACACAGGGAAAGGGGGAGGGAGAGAGATGGGGAGGAGGGAGAAAGGGGAGGGAGAGAGATGGGAGGAGGGGAGGACACAGGAAAGGGGGGAGAGGAGGGGAGAGACACAGAGAAAGGGGGAGAGATGGGGGAGACAGGAAAGGGGAGGAGAGAGATGGGAGATGGGGGAGACAAGGAAAGGGGAGAGACAAGGAAAGGGGGGAGAGAGATGGGAGAGACACAGGAAAGGGGGGAGGGAGAGATGGGGAGAGACACGGGAAAGGGGGAGGGAGAGATGTGAGAGGGGAGAGACACAGGGAAAGGGGGGAGGGAGAGATGGTGAGGGGAAAGGGAGAGGGAGAGACACAGGGAAAGGGGGGAGGGAGAGAGATGGGAGAGACAGGGAAAGAAGGGAGGGAGGGAGATGGGAGAGACAGGGAAAGGAAGGAGGGAGGGAGGGAGGGAGATGGGAGAGACAGGGAAAGGAGGGAGAGATGGGAGAGGGGAGACACAGGGAAAGGGAGGGAGGGAGAGGGGAGAGACACAAGGAAAGGGGGGAGGGAGAGATGGTGAGAGGGGAGAGACACAGGGAAAGGGGGGCGGGAGAGATGGTGAGGGGAATAGGGAGAGGGGAGAGACACAGGGAAAGGGGGGAGGGAGAGAGATGGGAGGAGGGGGAGGACACAGGAAAGGGGAGAGAGATGGGAGAGACACAGGAAAGGGGGGGAGGAGAGAGATGGGGAGGAGGGGGGAGAGACACAGGGAAAGGGGGGGGAGAGAGATGGGGAGAGACACAGGAAAGTGGGGAGGGAGAGAGATGTAGAGGAGGGGAGACAATACAGGAAAGGAGGGGGGAGAGATAGATGGGGAAGAGAGGGAGAGACAGGGAAAGGGGGAGGAGGGGAGAGACACAGGGAAAGGGGGGAGGGAGAGAGATGGGGAGAGACACAGGGAAAGGGGGAGGAGGGGAGAGACACAGGGAAAGGGGGGAGGGAGAGAGATGGGGAGGAGGGAGAGACACAGGGAAAGGGGGGAGGAAGAGACACAGGGAAAGGGGGTGAAAGAGGCAGAGGGGGAAGAGAGAGACAAAGAGGGAGAAATGAGAGAGAGACACACAAGGGGAGGGGAAGAAAGAGGCAGAGGGGGAAGAGAGAGACTGGGAAGGAAAGGGGAGACATTGACACAGAGGAGCAGTGAGGGGGAGAAAGAAACATACAGAGTGACTGGGGGAGACAAAAAGGCACACAGAGGGGCTGGAGATAAAGAGACACACATAGGGGCAGTATATATCACAAAGCCCCCAAGGCTTTCCCCTGCCGGCCGATCTCCCTCCCCGTTCCACAGGCACCGTGCAGCCAGTCGGCAGGGGAGGAAGAGAGGACCTGGGGCAACGCTCCGGCTCTCACGAGGGTGAACTCTAGCCCTGGAGCTACGGGCTAGAGTTCACTCTCACCACTTCCTTGTGGTCCCAGTAGTAGGAGTGAACTCTAGCCCCATACACACACTGCCCCACACACACACCATACACATTCACACACTGCCCCCACACACACACACACACACACACCATACACATTTACACACTGCCCACCCACACACTGAACCTTTCACACACATTGCACCACTGCTCCTATACCCTACTACAGCCCCATATCCCAGCAGACTCCAGGTAAGTTGTCAAACTGTTCTTAAACGGTTTGAGGACTTACTCTGGGAGGGGGTGCCGACGCTCCTGGCACCATAACCACTACACAGAGGAGTAGTGGTTATTGTGCATGGAATATTTATTTAAATAATCTACAAGTGCCCCTCTCAGGCTCAGGCTCTGGATCCGCCATTAGTATATGACAGGTATATTAATGTGTGTATTAGTTTTATATCTCTATTATATTTACACATATTAATGTACATTTATAAATGCATAATACACAGAGAAATTTCATTAATATGTACCATATGTAATGAGCAGATATTGGCCCAGTCTTGTTGCTAGGTGCATACTCCAGCACAATAACATTTTTAAAGTGAAGAGCACACCCACAGGACTTCAAAATAAAACATTTTCAGTTGTGCCCTACATACATTCACCATTTCAGTCCCATTAACAAGCTTTCCTTAATATGTCAAGGTAGTTGGACTGAAACATTGATTACATGCAAAGGCACGTCTGCTTAAAATAAATCTGCACTTTTGTTTATTTTGAAGCCTATGAGTGCGCTTTTTACGTTGAAGTGCTTTTTAATTTTAAGTTATCTGTTCTAACTCTGTATCTGCACACTATGCTGGCGCGATGCATTATGGGGCTGGTAAATATTTTTTTTCCAGGGCTGCTTTTAATTCCCAGTCCGGCCCTGTCCCTATGCTCCTGTTCCTAGCACCTCTGGTAGAACAGAGAGAACTGCTAGGGACAAGTTTGGTCGTCCCATTATTTTCCTTGGGAAATCACAAATTTGCAATAATTTCAATGCCGGTACATATAGCTTCAGCGCATGCAGGCTGTTGCATATCTATTCAAAATGCTTCCAGGTACATGCAAAAACCATGTGTCCCAATAAATTGTACCCCAGACCTTACGTCTGTCAATATTAATACATTATCAGATTTACTGTCTACACATCCTTCAAGATATCTGGTGGATTTCCATACAGGTATCATACACATGCCTTCAGGGAACCTAGAATTCTGCAACTTGCAGTCAGCACAGACGAATCCCACTGTCATGCGGTAACACTTCCGGGTTCGGCACTCCGCTGTGCGGAGCCTGACCCCGCCCCCCTCTGACGCAGCTCTGACGGTATTTAGGGAGACCGCACCAGAGAGAGGGTGTTTGGTGAAACTGGGAGCTACTTTCGCCAGACTTACCTCTCTGCAGGCTTGGCAATGTGGGTCCTACTTCCGAGTATGCACGCCGGCTTCTGGGACACGCCGGCTCTACAAGCTCTGAAGTCGTCCTAGCCTTCTGGGCTAAGACAAGTCTGTTTCATGCCATAAAGGATTACTGGAGAATAGAAACTCACTTACTTTACAAGTGGACAATATCTCTGAACTATTGGAGGACTACTCACATAACCTTAAGTATATCTTTCAGCTATTTGTCTACAATATCATTTAATAATGAACTAATGCTTTCTTACTTAAATCTTCACTGCTTCAAGTTACTAATTATATGGAGGACAACTCCCATCATGCTTATTAACTATGAACTGGTCAGACGTGGTGTCTACCATGGGCTTTGCAGCCATCTATGGGAATAAATGGCTTTGGGGTAGCTGGCCTGCGGAAGTCCAGAATTTGGAAGGTTTTTCCACTACCTCAGCCCTATTAGAGATTTACCTCATTGTAGCTGCTGCTGTGACTTGGGGTCATTTGTGGTCAGGTTATTCAATCCGTTGTTACTCAGATAACGAGGCCACATGCCACATCATTAACCCCTTCAGGACCGCTGACGGTTCAGGACAGTAGGGATTGCTGTTTAGTCTGTTTTAGTAAAAAAGTAAAAAGGCATATGCCTTCTTGGCGTCAGACTCCATTACCTATTGGCTCCACCACATTCTGAAACGACTCAACACGCACCAACAGTAGAGATAACATACTATCCTACCCACAACAAATGGTGTCCAGTTGCGGTCCTAGATTCCTACCTTCAAAATCCTTCCAGGAATTAAATACCGTAATGCATTTAAGAAAATGTCTGGTTAATTTGTAAATATTTGTTGACTGTATTAAATCTGATTATTCATTTTTGCCATCTTTATTTACAGTACTACCGTATTGTCGGTCTCGGCACACCACAACCGACTTGCTCCCTTTATACTATCCTACGCTTGTATGTACGTAGCGGGGAATGTGGTGCGACTAAGAGTAAGGAGACTACCCCAATTCTCCCCCCAATAATGACAAACAACGAATATTGGATGAAACAGGCCACAGCATTTATTAAACGTACAATTGTAGGACTCATCCGAACTTTATTCTTTTTCTTTAATTCAAATATAAATAAACAGATAAATATATATACATACCATAATTAACATATCAATTAACATATAAATTACACTTATTGCCCTACAGCCTCCAACTTAAATAACCGTCCTTGCCAACGAACTTAACCAGGTGCCTATGCACCAAAACTTTACCCACTAGTGTCTCGCCTCCCCCCTCGTCCAAACCAAAAATTCCCATCATCTTAAATGCTCTACCACCAGCCGGCTTTTTGCTCGGTGGGCACGTCCTATTCGGTAACTTAAAAGTTTACCTTACAGAGTAGGGGAGGTTGAGACCCACCATGTCCATCTCCTGACATTCCATCTGCTCCCCAACCCTGTTGGCAAGGACACGCTCCCCGCTAGCTGTGACGGAACAAAAACAGAAAATTAGGGTGGGTGGGTGGGAAGTTGTTTGCTGGCCTGAATCCCAAAAGGCACTGAGGTAAGATGATCATACCCACTACAAACCCATAACCACTCCCCTAAACACATATAGCCAATCACTAGCACCATCCCCACACTCATACATGTGCCCTTGTCCGTTTAGCTATGCTGACTCCCCAGGGCCTTGTATGTATGTAGCGGGGAATGTGGTGCGACTAAGAGTAAGGAGACTACCCCAATTCTCCCCCCAATAATGACAAACAATGAATATTGGATGAAACAGGCCACAGCATTTATTAAACTTACAACTGTAGGACTCATCCGAACTTTATTCTTTTTCTTTAATTCAAATATAAATAAACAGATAAATATATATACATACCATAATTAACATATAAATTAACATATAAATTACACTTATTGCCCTACAGCCTCCAACTTAAATAACCGTCCTTGCCAATGAACTTAACCAGGTGCCTATGCACCAAAACTTTACCCACTGGTGTCTCGTCTCCCCCCTCGTCCAAACCAAAAATTCCCATCATCTTACTTGCTCTACCACCAGCCGGCTTTTTGCTCGGTGGGCACATCCTATTCGGTAACTTAAAAGTTTACCTTACAGAGCAGGGGAGGTTGAGACCCACTATGTCCATCTCCTGACATTCCATCTGCTCCCCAACCCTGTTGGCAAGGACACGCTCTCCGCCACAAACCCCGCTGTTTTAAACCTAAAATCAGCTGGGAGCCCCACCAAAACCAACCAGGCCTGTTCCACCACTTTCTGCATGGCAAGACGAAAAAAGGTCTAGCCGGACCTTCATCACCCAGAAACAAAGTAGCAAACCAAAATCCCCTTACCTCTCCATTTTTGCTTCATACGGCAGCGTACCATGCACTGATTATGGGCCTGCTGCCAAAAGATACGGGAAATAACCTCCGACCAATCGGGGTTATTTATTGATTCTTTTTTTTTATTTATTTTTTTTATTTTAAATCGTTTTATATTTATTTATTTTTTTAGAAATGCTTTGTTATAACATACAAGTCCTGTATAACACATCCAGAACTTATTATAATAATCTCTATAATCATAATCTCTCTTCTTTTCTGAAACCAAAACATTAAACATAAATAACCATAACTTAACATATATAACTTAACACACAGGGTCATACAGTGAACCCAACACCACACATCACAAAAGAACTAAAACACGCACCAATACCCTCTTAGGGGCAGACGCCAAAAAACCACCTTGGTATCGTCCCAAGCTCAATGCCCGCCAGGTGGATAACCCGAACATTAGGGACAGGTGGGACAGCTGAACCTGATCCGGGAGGAGCCGAACACATTTCATACCTCCGGCACCAAACCAACGAACTTTCGCTTCAGAAGGCACACAACCCAAAAGCTCACCTCCTAGACGGACACCCGCATCTCACCTGGGAGTATAACCAGGAAAAGGACATCCAGATATTATCTGTTTTCCAAGTGCACCCTGGGAATTGTTACTTGTACCCAAGGAACTGGTACTCATTTATCTACCTCAAAGGAATGAATGGATGAGCCACCGCCGCTGAGAATTGAACCCGAACCCCCCCAAGGATTGAACAAATTCCACGAAACCAGCATTACTTCGAGACATCTCACCATACCCCCTCCCGGTTCTCTGCACCATGTGCGCTGACATACCAATTCTAAAAGCCTCCAAGGCAGCGTTAAAACCGAAAGGAATGACACAAGATTCTTTGCTGACAGTCCCCAGAACCATCACACTTGAGTGAAAGACCCAAAAATTGGGAATGGGAAAGAAAAAATAAAAATAAATCACATCCGCATAACCCAAAAGAGGGACCGTGCCGAACCGCCATACCCTTCCCGAAACAACATTCGACCTGGATTGTCAAATACTTATAGAGATATGATGCGCAGGGTGCCGACTGGTGGCAAACAATACCCCACCACCGCATGGCCTACTAGGAATCACCAAAACCACAACATGCATGGCCACCACGAGCATAGCGTCCAGGTGGCCGTGGAAACCGATCCACGGACCCATTCCGTCACTCTGCCAGACTGTCCGCCGGGCAAGGCGTCCCCTCTAGATCGGCCTGCAATTCGATTGCCCGTTAAGCAAGCGAGGGAAGGAGGCTGTCACCCGAGTAATGGCTTGAACAACCCCCAAATTGTCGCAGTGAAACACTACCCTTAGATCCTGAAACGTGACTGCCAGACCTCCCCCACCACCAAAATGGGGAAACGCTCCAAAAAGCCCAGATTCTTTGTGAGCCCAGAGACATGCCAACT